CTGCCTGCCGCTCCACTTGCTTGTGCTTTCTCTCTCTCTCTCTCTCTCGTGTCAAATAAATAAATAAAATCTTTAAAAAAAAAAAAAAGAAAGAAATGACTCTGTCAGCCACTCTGTCCTTGCTTACTGTGCCAGGCATCGGATGGGATGTGCTGAGTGAGGGAGAGTGAAGAATGGTACCAGATTTCTGTCTGGACACCTGGTGGCTGGTGGTGTTGTCTACTGAGCTAGAGAATACCAAGAGAATCGCTCTGATTGGGGGAGGGGGGGCTCAGGTCATGATTGTATATCTGGCAGTGCAAGTTCAGAGTCTTAGACGAGTTGTCTGTACTTTTAATGACTGTGTTGAGTTGTACCACTGGAACCGTTCCTTTGGGGGGTGGTGTACCGCTCTTGGTGCTTACCATGTCTTCTGCTGTAATGGTGCTTTCCGGTGTAGAAAAAATAGCAGCCGCCATATGCCAGGCACCATGTTAAGTGCTTTATTACATCTCGTCAAAAGGGTGGTAGGTACTCTTCCCATTTCACAAATGGGGAAACTGAGGCAAAGAGGTTAAGTAACTGACAATAAAGGGTAGAACCAAACTTTCTCAACAACTGTATAGAGCTATAATTCACATTACTATAAAATTCAGTGATTTTTTAGTGTGGTTACAGTTTTGCGATCATCACCATAATCTAATTTTAGAATATTTTCATTATCTCAGAAAGGAACCTTGTACCCGTTAGCCACCATCTCCAAACCTCCTCCTCTCTCCACCCCCAGATGAAGGCAACTCCTCTAAATTAGATTAGATTTGCCTGGTTTGGGCATTTCCTGTAAATGGGCTCATAATAGGTGGTCTTTTGTGACTGGCTTCTTTCACTTAGCATCGAGTACTTGAGGTTATCCGCTTGAGGCACATACCAGTGCTTCATTAAAAAAAAAAAGATCTATTTGAGAGAGAGAGAGCAGGGCGAGGGGCAGAGGGAGAATGAGAAGCAGGCTCCCTGCTGAGTGGGGAGCCTGACGTGGGACTCGATCCCAGGACCCTGAGATCATGACCTGAACCAAAACCAAGAGTCAGACACTCAACCAACGGAGCCACCCACGTGCCCCAAGTGCTTCATTTTTTAAAAATTTTCAGATAATATCCTGTTACATAGATCTACCTCCAAAGTTTGAATCAGGGATTTCTGGTTCTAAAACTCCTGCTGCTGCCACACCATGCAAATTCCTATACATGTCTCATTAGATTAGAAGGTTCTTGGGGCAATATCTTGTGTTTCTGTGTTTTTCTTTTTCCCTCTTACAGTTCTCTCAGGAAACCTTGCTCATAATAGGACTCATTAAGTATTTTCATATATAGGCAAGAAATTCAACTCCTTGTTACTTTATCTAACTCACAGTGTTGGATTGGGAGAAGGGGGGTTATTTATCATAAAGGACCGTAGAAAAACCTAAGTATCTTTTTTTTTTTTTTTCCCCTAGGACGAAAACCTAAATATCTTTTTTCTATGTCTAGGAAGAAGAAGCCGGGAGGATAAAAGATTGCTGGGACAACCAGGAAGCACCTGCGCTCTCCACGTGTAGCAATGCCAATATCTTTCGAAGGATAAATGCCATATTGGATAATTCTCTGGATTTCAGTAGAGTCTGCACTACACCCATAAACCGAGGAATTCATGATCATTTGCCAGGTGACTTAGATTTGAAACCTTTAGTGTATGTTTTCGTACATACACTATGTATGTATGTAGACCTGTTTCTAGGCAGCTTTCTTGCGAAGCTGACGAAAAATGACCCTGAATCTCTGGTAATACTAGCCCCTTTTTGTAGCTTACTTTGTGGATTGGGTTCCCCTCTGGATGAAGACTGCCTTCAATTTATAATGTACAAATCTATCTTATGACCTATAAAGAGGCTGGATAAAAAAGGATAGGTCAGAGGTAGCAGGACTACTTATACAGAGAATTATAATGTGAGTCATATGTAATTATAGGTTTTCTGGTAGTCACATTTAAAATTTTTTTTAAAAGGGATATTAATATTTTATGTAACCTAACGTATACAAAATATGCTAACCATAGAGTCAATATAAAAACTATTAATGAGATATCGTATTCTTAGTGTATTTCACATTTACAGTGCAGCTCAGTTGGAACTAGCTGCATTTCAGGAGCTTGGTGGCCATGAGACTAGTGGTTGCTATATTGGACAGTGCATCTCTTGAATATTTTAATCGCTTTTAACCATGAATGCAAGTCAACAAGCATTTAGTTCTGATGATATGTAGGCTATCCCATAGGATAGTGGAGGGGAGAGGGTAGCATACCCAAAGATGGTACTTCACAAGGAGGCTTGGAAGTCCTAAAATGTGTTTCATAATCTTCTGTGGAAGTTGCAACATGTTGTAAGAATGTTGATGGAATGTTTCTTGTTCGAGTTACTTTAGTTGAAAGTGAACATGTTTTTAATTTTTTAAATGTGCCTTGAAGAAATTTGGCAATAGTGGGGTTTGCAGAACAAGGACCGGTAATTGCTGTTTTTCCATCATAAATTCTTTGATTTACTTCCGAACTTGACATTGGAAATAATTCCCATAAAGATGCAGGCCTATGTGAACATATGTGTAGCTATGTGTAGCTAAACGTCTGAAGGAGAGATTTCATTACAAACAAGACTGACTTGTGGTAACTGTAGAATTTATTTCTATTAGATTTTTCTAACTGGAGGGCAAATGGGAGAAGGGCATAGGGGAACTAAGAATGCTGATTGGGCTTGTCTCTTCAGACTTCCAAGAAAGTACATGTGTATGATTTTCTGTTAGTTGGTGTATGTCCTGAGCTAATAACCCTTATTGTCCTTTAGCTTATGCCAAGTTTTTAAAAACTCAGAAAATCTGCTTGGTTCAACATATGTGTTCTGTTTTCTTTGAGAAAACTGCATGAATTTTATTCCAGTATGAATGACAATCAACGATGGCTTAAATCTCACTGGGTCGCCTCAGACACGCTGGGAACTTACTCAGGCACACCTCGGAGAAATTGTGGGTTGGCTCCCAGACCGCCGCAGCAAGGTGGATATTGCAATGAAGCGAGCCAAAGGAATTTTTTGGTTTCCCAGTGCATATGAAAGTTATGTTACATCATACTGTAGTCTGTTAAATGTGCAATAGCATTATGTCTGAAAAATGGTACATAACTTCAGTTAAAAACTACTTTATTGCTAAAAAACGCTAGCCATCATATGAGCTTTCAGCAAGCCCTAGTCTTTTCGCTGGTGTAGGGTCTTGTCTTGAGCTGCTGGCTGCTGACTGTTGAGGGTGGTGGTTGCTGAAGTTGGGGTGGCCGTGGCAGTTTGTTAAAATAAGACAACAGTGAAGTTTGCTGCATCGATCGACCCTTTCAGGAATGCGTTCTCTGCAGTGGCCAGTGTGACTTGATAGCATTTTTACTCACAGAACTTCTTTTAAAATTGGAGTCAAGCCCGTGTTACAGATGAGGAAACCAAATTTCCCCTGGGTTGGAGGACTTGTGTGAGGCTACGTAGTCAGTCAGGAAGTGGCTAATCTCAGACTCAGACCAGGGTCTGCTGTCACAGTGCATGTTGTTTGGCACCAGGCCACTTCCTAACGCTCGGCTCCCACTAACAGAGCATCTTCAGGTGCATGCAGGTGTACATCCAGCTTCGACTTCTGCATCCGTTCTGGTCTTGGTTTTATGTGGGCTCCAGTGGATGCTGTGACTACTGAAGGTCAGATTTCCGCTGAGCCAGGTGCTTCCTACATAGAGCTCTGGCCTTTGTGCCTAGATCACACCGCCCCAGCCTTGGGAGGGCTTGGTTGGCTGTTGGGCCAAGCATACATCAGTATTTCATTCTGAGACATACACAGGTTCCAAGGATGAAGACATGGACATCTTTGGAGACATCATTCAGCTACCTTATCAAGTAATGCAGACCACCTCAGCCTTGGACCTGTAGTTCAGGTCCATCCCTGCAAAATCTGGCTTCAGATTCCACATCTCTTACTACACACTTGGTCCCACTGCCACAATTGGCCAAATTCACCAGAAATTCAACAGCAAATAGGGAATGCCTACTTTGTGCCAATCACTGTTGTTAGGCTCCAAGGATTCCTGACTTTATGTGGTATCTTCAGAACCTGCTCTCCCAACATGGATGGGAAACAGAAGGAAAAAAACTAAACAGAGAAATAAATAAAGTGATTGCAAGTTTTAGTAAGTACTATGAAGTAATAACTTTTTGAGTGACCTAGGCAGGAACTCTCTGAGGAGGTATGTTTAAAAATGGAGTCCAAAGGAAGAGAAAGCGCTAGATCACATAAAGAGTGTGGGGAAACATTTCAGACAGAAAAGGTTGCACTAAGGCTTTTGAAAGAGCTTGGCAGGTTTGGGGCACTGAAGGAAGAGTAGGGAAGGGGGAGTCCTGCACAATGGCTCCAGGGGTAGCGGGGGGCTTGGGTGGGCGGGTACCACGGGCTGCACAAAGCCCTTGGATGTTCTTGAGAGTTGTCGGAGGTCCGTGGCCAGTGATATTAAAGGAGTGGTTTGTCCTCCAAACTCTGATTACCCATGTCTCCAACAAAAAGGTGGAGGACAAAATGGAAGCCACACCTCTGAGTGGGCTGCCTTCCCATGATGGAGAAAATGAGTGTCGACTCATCGTTTTTTTGTTTTTTGTGCATGGGAGAGGTTCCTGGCATTGCTCCTGTGTTTGCTGGTGCAGCCTCTTTACAGCTTGGCCTCAGTGATCACTTTTTTTGCTTTAAAAATCATCATGCTCTTTGACTCATTATGTCCAGATCTGAGACGCTCTCCTAAGGAGTAATAATCAGTGCAAATAAGGATTTATGTAGAAGGATACTTAGAGCATCATTAGGGTGGTGAAAATTTGGGGAAAAAAAAAACCCAAAAAACCTGAGTGTCTCCTAAGAGGAAAATATTTATTTGTATATTAAAGTGATGGAGTATTTTGTAGTTATTAGAATAATACCTTTTGAGAATAATAGTTTTCTACATGTTCAGTTACATAAAAATCTTCATAATATAGCATGAAATCAAGATAGAATACTAATCCATATATACACACATTCTCAATTTTGAGACATAAAATTAATATAAAAATATAAATACAGTGGAAAAAAATTGGAGTCTGTCCTCTCAAACCCTGCCTCTGCCTTATTGGCAACTAAGTGTATGTAATATTCTAAATCCTTTGTTGTCATCCCAACAATCTCCACAGCCTCTCCACTAGGAGTCGATCCCATCTCAAGAAACCACTTTCTTTGCTCTTCCACGAGAAGCAGCTCCTCATCCGTTCAGGTTTGATCATGAGATCACAGCAGTTCAGTCCCGTCTTGAGGCTCCACGTCTATTCCTAGTTCTCTTGCTGTTTCCACCACATCTGCAGTGACTTCCTCCACGGACGTCATGAACCCCTCAAAGTCATCCACGAGGGTTGGAATCAACTTCTTCCAAACTCCTGTTAATATTGATATATTGATATTTTGACCTCTTTCTATAAATCACGAATGTTCTTAATGGCATCCAGAATGGTGAATCCTTTCCAAAAGGTTTTCAATTTACTCTGCCAGATCCAGCAGAGGAATTACTATGTATGGCAGCTATAGTCTTACAAAATGTGTTTCTTAAATAATAAGACTTGAAATTACTTCTAGATCCATAGGCTGCAGAATGAATGTTGTATCAGCAGGTGTGCAAAGAACATCTGTCTCCTCATGCATCTCCGTCAGCTCTTGGGGGACCAGGTGCATTGTCAATGAGCAGTAATATCTTGACAGGAATCTTCTGAGCAGTAGGCCTCAACAGTGAGCTTGAAATATTTAGTATGCCATGTTGTGAACATATGTACTGTCCGGGCTTTGTTGTTCCGTTGATGGAGCATAGGCAGAGTGGCTTTAGCCTAATTCTTCGGGTCCCTAGGATTTTCAGAATGGCACATGAGCGCAAGCTTCAGCTTAAAGTCAGCATCTGCATTAGCCCCTAACGGTAGAGTCAGCCCGTCCTTTGAAGCTTTGTAGCCAGGCCCTGACCTCCCCTCTCTGGCTGTGAAAGTCCTAGATGGCATCGTCTTCTGATAGAAGGCTGTTTGGTCCACACTGAAAATCCGTTGTGTAGTGGAAGCCAGGCCCTGGCCTCCCCTCTCTGGCTGTGAAAGTCCTAGATGGCATCGTCTTCTGATAGAAGGCTGTTTGGTCCACACTGAAAATCCGTTGTGTAGTGGAAGCACCTTCATGAATGATCTCCGCCAGATCTTCTGGAGACCTCGCTGCGGCTTCTCCATCAGCCCTTGCTGCTTCACCTCGCAGTTTGGTGTTACGGAGACGGCGTCTTTCCTTAAACCTCATGAACCAACTCTGCTAGCTTCAGACTTGTCTTCTGCAGCCTCGTGCCCTCTCTCCACCTGCACAGAATTGAAGAGAGTGAGGCCTTGCTCCGGATTAGGCTTTGGCTTAAGGGGATGTTGTGGCTGTTGGCGCTTCTGTCCAGACCGCTAAGTCTTTGTCCATATCAGCAGTAAGGCTGTTTCACCTGGTTATCATTCGTGCGCTCGCTGGCGTGGCACTTGTCATGTCCTTCCAGAACTCTTCCTTTGCATTCACAACTTGTCTGTTTGGGGCAGGCGGCCTGGCTTTCGGCTTATCTAGACTTTCAAC